AAAAATAGGTACTTTTTTATTGACCAGATAGTTTGTTGAAAAAATGTTATTTTGCATAATTTTATAGCATATTTTGAAGATTAGAGATTATTTCCAGGTTGGAGCTTTTTTTAAACATTTTTTTACCGATTTTTAATGGAACGAAGAGAATATTTCGAGATTTTACTATTGCATATTAGCGTATTTTTTTTGTAGAACTTTTTTAAACCTGACAATCTTATCTCTACCATAAGTTTTATATTTGTCGAAAATGCGACGGGTATACAGCGGGTTAACACCGACGCTAATCGATGATGCGAGGAGTGGTGATGGGCGCGTTAATTCAGTGTTACGGCTGCGTTTGTGTTTGCGACCATGGCCGCATCTGGGGTTCTGCGTACGCGTCTGCGAGTCTGCGTATAGTGTATACGAATGTTCCTACGTTTGCGTATGAGACCTAAACGAGGTCAAGTGTCAATGCCCACGTATTCGAGTAATGCTGTATAGATAACGTGACAAATATTTGGTCAGGCACTTGTTTTTGAAACCATAACATTTTTTTCAACTTTCATCCCTTCGCACGCATTTTGCTTCGAAACAGCTTTGACTTTTTGCTATTTAAACTGATAGTATTTGAAAGATGGAAGTAATAATGGAATGATGAATGATGCAAAATCTGATGAATTACATTTATTCGAATTTAATTTACCGCCTAAAATTAGTTAGAAATCCAACGTAGATTACTATTATAATGACACCATTTTTAAAACAAAATAAAAATTATATGTACCTTTTATAAGCTTTGATGTACCTCGAGTAGACAATATAAAAATATTTTAAACGCATACATTGTTGCAAAGTTTAACATGTTATGGTCTTATGTATGGGGGGACGTTTGTGGGGGGAGGATGGGGCTTAGAATACTAAAAGCCTTATAACTTAAAATTAGTGTTTTTCAAAATACCTACATTTATTTTTAGATGAGATTTTTTGAAATCAAAATAAATGTAGTAATTTTAGGTTTAGTGTTTTCTTAAGGCTTTTATAATCCCAAGCGCCCCCAAATATCCGGCCATGGTCTTATGGCATAATATTTCCAAAGGACGCTGTATGTATTGATTCAAATAAACCAGCCCCACCACCCCCCACACAACGCCATTGTTTTTATAGTGGTGTAGTTATGCAAGAGAAAGTAGTCTCCAGAGGGTAGGTGCCACAGCTTACAAAATGGCTGCCTGCTTTTTGGGGCTATTTTTTTTCGAGCAGTTTGACAGAATTGATTTATTTTGCCAGGGTTGGTAACGCAAAACCGCGAGTTCATCTGCGTACTAAAGAGTTTCACAAATGAATGACACGAATGACGTGACAGATAAATCTGTTATTGTGAAGCTCATAATACTAAAGCGACGACCGGAAATTACATTTCCTCTCCAAATATTATTATAAGTGAAATAAATGGCAATTGTGCATTTTTGCCGTATAAAAATATCGCATATTGTATAATAAAACATCTCTATTATACTTTTAACATATTTTAAGGCCAATATTATACACTAGATACAAAATCCTATTATATGAAAACCTGAATTCAGGACCTAAAACTCCTAAAAAAAGACAAGCGCAAAAAACCACAATAGAAGCACTCGTAAAACTTCAATAAAAAATAGGATATCCCCTTTCGAGCTTATCCTCTCATTTTATCAAATACTGAGTATCTTTTATGCCTATGCTGAGTGTGTATATCTGCATAATAATATTAAACACAACTTACATAGAATGATCCAATTATCTTTTTACCGTTTAAAAGCTTATTAGAACGAGATACATATTTTTTTATAATAGTTTCGCCGTATAATTACATTACAGAGGAAAAATCCTAGAAAAAACTGGGGTTTCGCCAGTGATTACCACCTGCATCGAGTCACAAAGTAGAAAAATAGATGTGCAAACAAAAAGCACTTTTAGATATATCATGATAATATTTAAAAATAGACCATTTCAAATTACAGATTAAAACTATAGTAGCATAACGTCATATAGATTCTGGTAAAAAAAAAATCACCTCCAAAGTTTTAACTTGTAAAACAAAAATCAGAAATTTATCATTATTTGTTTATTCGTTAAAATAAAACTTCTAATTCTACATTAGTTCTAAATTCAGGAAAAAATTAGTTCTAGGAGTTTCTTATTTATTTTTTTAGAGTTTACTCTATCGACTATCTGAAATACATTTCAGAAATTGATTTAAACGAACAAAACGTAGTGTTTTCATAGTAGTATATTACTAAAATTTACTTATCCTAGGCTTATGACAGTTATTCATAATTATTGAAGAATCGTTTTATTTACTATGTATAAAATATTTTTATTAACCGGCTATTATATTTTACACTTAATAAAATACATAATTAAATTAACCGAGTTATGATTAAAAATGAGACAAAAATTATCTGAAACAAATAATATAACAGTTTAATTTTTGTATTTTAGTTTCAAACCCTATAATTCAGTACAGAAAACAGCATTCAGAATAAAATATAGGTTACAGAATGGTATATGAGATAACAAACTACTAACTTTGTTTTACACAAATTTTCTGCTGGAAAAATAGAAATAATATAACATTGAAATTATACCCGAGTCTAAAATTTTCAATTCCGAAAATTTATAAAAATTACAAATTTACCTACATAAATTTAAACCGCTATTTTTCCACAAGTATGCGTAACAACTTGACATTATTTAATATTTGATCATAGAACACATTTGTAGCTAAATAAGCATTAAATTGGGGGTTATTAGAAAAAAATTGCAATTCGAGTTCAAAAACCACCCGAGCCCTAATAATAAATTATAAGTAGTAGTAGTATTACTAATTTTTATTTTTCAACAAGAGAGAAACATGAGAAGTGCAGTGCTCGTAGTAGCTCAACAGCTGTCGTTGAAGGCCTACTTCGACTACATTAGGTGTGGTTTCTTGACGAATTCGATTTCGGGGCTGATTTGACAGCAAACGCTAATTGATATTGCCACCTCTTTCACCGGGCCACTAGTACGCCAGTATATTAAATTATAATGATATAATACTTTGACAAATCTCAACTGCGTCCCTTAGGCCTGTTAATGGAATATACACTACGCTAAGGAAATATTAATGTACTTTTGTGTGATGTGTTCAGTGAACAATATAATGAGGGGTAACATTATTTTAAGCCTTTTTTTAGCCCCTAACTCAACAAATGATGCGATTTCTCTTTTTAGTTGATAGTAAGAGCACCAGTGATTGGCACTACCTTTTTGGCAGTATAGTGTTTTTTTTTATATCAGATATAAAAAACAATGCGCTGCCAAAGACTGGATTATAGTACCAATCACTGATGCCGTTACTCTACGTAGGTAACGTTGTTTATTTTTAATTTTAAATTAATTTTTAATTATCATATTATCATAAATTTAGATATTAACTAATATTTCAATCATAAATACACCAGTTGGAATAAGTAATTATTTTATATTGACATGATAAAGTTCGAGTTAAGGACGGACGGGTCGAAAGGGGCTGGAATGATTGACCTGTCTATTTAAGTGTGCATTTTGCACTTCATAACAAGAAAGATATATTTTTGACATTTTCATGTCTTAGCTCTGACACATAACCGAAAAACTTGTTCCAAAAAAAACGTTCCATAAAAACTGTCACGCTGTTATCTGAAAAGAGATAAGAGTTTAGAGATGAGGGATGGGGATGGGGTTGCGTTACAATTGGTTACAAGTATAATTGACGAAAGGAAAGTTTTATTAAGTTTTATAATAAAAAAAAGTATATAAAAAGAATAGTACATAAAAATACTTAAAGGAATCGTTAATTTTTATTAACCTAGTTTTCGGGATGCTCCGCGTTGACAAACCAGATCGAATTATTACAGATTCTATTATGAACGTTATGAATACACAATATATATATACCGAATAAATTTCCGGATAAATAGTTTAGGTTAGGTTAGCGAGTCACGACTCACAAAAGTCCAAAGTTTCGACTTTTGTGAGTCGTGACTCGCTAACCTAACCTAAACTATTTATCCGGAAATTTATTCGGTACTTCAACGAGACATGAAAATGCTCTTTCGTGGTTGCAGACTCGTCCGAAAAATGTTTTTCTATTTTTTTAAACTTAATATTGAAACCTTAAATTTTTAACTTTTGGAAAAACGGTGAGCTCATATGGGAATGCCCTAGATGTATATTCATATTGGAACACACTGTGTAATACCACTTACAATCATAAATATACGCTTCAGTGTAAATCTCTAGTTAGTAAAATACAGATACATTAGGTAATATTTATTATTGAAATAATATTATTGCATGCATATTTAAACTAGAATTAAAATTTAAAATAAATATTATTATTAAATTAGATGCCTGTAAAATAATTCGATAGAAGTGCAGTTTAATTTAAATGTTTTGTCTTAAATATACCTATTCGGATTATTATATTATTATTATTATTTACAATTATTAACTCTGGAAAAATAAGTTTTTATTGCAATGTACTCTTTGAATAGGTAATTTGAGGAGAATAACACTTTAAAGTTTAACAGGGGAAGCTTTGCCCTCGCTTATTCTTTAGATTTGCTTATTTCTAAGATCGAGCTAGTTAAGGGCTCAATGAAATAATAATAATTGTGTAACACCAATTAAGTTAGTTTCGTTTACATGTTTAACATGTAATGGTCGTTCTCGCCATCTTGGCAATAATTAAGTGTAGTTGAATTATTGTCATTGTTATAACGTTTACGGTTAATTCAAGTCAATCAAGTGGCTTGCTAGGTTTTTGTTAACATTTTACATATTGTTATCACACTTTCAAATAAACCATAGCGTTATCACTATTGCAGTGACGCTGGAGGTGAAACAACATGGTAATTTCTTCCAAGTTACCTCCAAACTGCAATCAATATAGCGCTAGGCGCTAGCGGTCGGCCGGCCAAAGCCAAAGGGATTCGTGATTGTGGAACACAGTTGTCGCTGTTGTACACTTGTCTATGGTTGTTCGAGTCACTACGCACTAGTCAGTTATGCCAGTAAAATGAAAGTCCTCATAACGGTCGGCGGAGGGTCGATGGAGATTGGAATTTTCTGCGCTTTTGGAATACCATGTTGTAATAACTTATCTGTCCCGTCCTTTTTCGGCTGTTCTCAGTACTGAAACGTTATAATTTTTTAGCAAGCTTCACGGCTCTGAACGTCCAAGAGAGCTTCAAATTGTATTGAAGCTTTCGAAGCAGCATTCATGGAACTATGAACTTGGATTCTTTGTCTTATACATTATCACAAATCAGCTTTCTCGTCGCTAATTTGTCAAGGAAAAATTACACTTCTAGTGTTCAAGAAATATTGAACGTAAGTCAGAACTTTTGGTAATTATCATAGTTAGATATGTTTTTTGGCTTTTGACATATCTTTTTACGCCATCGTCAAAAATTGATAATATAAAAAATGAATTAACAATGCATACGTTGTCCCTCGTTACAGTCCAAAAACATATTCATGCCTTAATGTTGTTCCATTAACCGGAGAAGTTTTTTATTATTTAGAATGTCTCTGGGCGTTTTATAATTGAATGCATATTTTTAAATTCATTTCTAGTAGCTTTCACCCCCCGTAGTGACACTGTGCACCCTCTGCGAACCTTGAAACTAATGAAATATTTTTCATGTCTGCTTAATTATATGTTTGTCTAAGTGGCTTAATGACATATTAATTTTTTGGGTTACTAAGTTATTTTTTCTGGACAAAACAACTATGTACAATTTAAAAAGAATCTATATTAATTTGATTTCTATTTAGAAAAACATGTTATTATGCTGATATAAATAATAAAACAATATTTATTTCAATTTACTTATAGGTAATAACATTTTTTTTTTAAAGTACCCATTTTTTAATCATTTTTTATTACGGAGTTAGGTATAGGCAATTATTATTAAAATCTTAATTTAAAGCTTAAACTAATTATTAGTTTATTAATTATTATAACCCATTTTTAGTAGTTCATTAATTTTTTGGACTACCACCAGCATCTTTGACAGCGATTTAACATTATTTTTTAATTTAAATAGCTACACAGAATAAGTTTATTAGGTCTATGGTTGTTTTAGACAAAAACATGTGTTATGAAATCAAAAGGTAACAATATTTTGTAGACAATGTCGTATCTGATTTGGAAAACAAGTTATAGCTATTTAAAATTTTTTTTTAAATGTTAAATATTAGGTTTATCAAAAAAAGGATATAACGTTGTCTCCAAAATCTTGTCAGCTTTCATTTTAATTGAGGTATTTATGCTCTAAAATCATCACAAACCGAGTAAAACGCATTCTGTGTAGGTATTTTTTGATGCTATAAAATTGGGTGAATAACGTCCTCTTAATTATGGAAAATTATATTACATACAATATTAGTGGTGCAGTTTCAACACTGGTATTATTCAAGGCAAATTCATGTTTTTGTATGAAATTGAGTTTTATTTTGAAATTACCCAAAAAATGTAGGTCATTTATTCTACTAATTATTTATTTTATAGTCTTCATAATATTTTCTAAGATTTTAGAAATGTGTAGGTTATAATATTTACAATTGTGAAGCTATAGGAAACACATTTCCTCTGCATTCAAAACAAATTATTTTATTTTTGTGAATGTTGTTTAATTTTAAGGCCATCCAATTACAAGGATTTGAAGTTGATCGACATTTACTGCGTTGCTTACTTTCTCATATAGATTTGAGAGACAGTGAAGGACCACGAAGTACATCTCATAAAGATTATTATCAAGCTCTACTTTTAGCGCAACAATGTAAAACTCTTTTGAACAAGCCCTCGCTTTTTTCAATTTTGTGTTTTGCACTAGACAATCCACTTGCTAATTCAAAAGTAATTAAAGTTTTAAGTTTTGTTATCATTATCTTTCACAATTTGATTGTATTTAAATTGTTTTTATAATAAATCTTTAGCTATTGAAACCTTCGATAAAGTTTTTCATACAGCTAAGTAGGCTTTTACATCTAAGTCCTGTACAAGAAGTGGTTTTTGGAATTGTATGTTTGGAATCAGTCAACTACTCCACATATGCCTTAGAGTATGTGAAACAAAAATTACCAGAACTAATTAAATTCTATATTAATTTAGGTATGCAATATAATATTATTGTTCAATTATTTTCAAGTTTAATTGTATTGTTGTTGTTTTCTTTTTCTTAGAAGACCATAGTAATCAAGTCACTGAAGGGGGATTGCATGATTCTAGTCCTGAAGTTCTTCATTTAATACTATGCCACATATTTTCTGTCACCAATCGAGATTTTGGTATGATAAGAGTTGTTTTAAATTATTTAATAGAGCATTATTTCAGAACATTTTTTTAAAATATATACTACATTTTTTTACAGGTATTAGTAAAGAAGTAAAGAATAGTTTGTTGTTAAACTTACGTCGTGATTTTCCTTTAGAGGTTGCCCCGGTTTTATTGGCTCCTTTGATATATTCAAATAAGCCTGACCACCCTATGGTTAAAATGGATCAAGAAACAATTAATATTAAGATGGTACCTTTTATTTGATTTTTGATTGTAGTCTGCTTATGAAAAACTGCTTAATTATGAGTAATATTAATTTTTATTTTATACAGTTGGATACATCGTTAGCCGATTTCATGATGGAAATAGGCTACTCATTTTGCGTTTCAAAAGATGAGTGCAAGAAGAATTTGATGTCAATTATTGCTGGAAATGATGTGACATTCGTTTTTGGCCCAAAATCTATTGCTAATGTGTTAATAATGATGATACGTAGTCACTCTGGTTTAGAAACACAGCCACTCTTGTCCTTCTGGGTGGGAGATAACCGTATTGATTTGAGTGATTTGACTACTTCTAACGCTAATTTAACTACATGGAATGTTGAAGCATTTGTGGGCGCAGTTCTAGACGTGGTAAGATTTACGTTATTAAGTTATTATAGAAATATTGTTCAACATTTTAAGACTCTAGAACATCTGACTGTTATATTGCTATTTACATTTTTTTTTTTTATTTGTTATTTAGAATCCACTTTTATCATGGACAGAGGTAGTTAAAGAATTAGATCAGTCTGACTTTATGATTAAAGATAGAAAAGGTTTAGTCCTGCTTATTACTACTCTTCGTCTTGCTTTGAAGAAACAAAAATTCCTCAGAGAAAGCTTCCCAATTAAAATGTTTTATTACCAGTGGACAAATTCTGACTCACAGGTAAGTTATCCATACTAAAAAAAAAAAATAATTTAATAATATTTAAAATGTAATATGTAATTTCAGATGTCCTTATTACAATATTGTCTTCAAAATTCTGATATATTCTGTTTTAATGATTATCCTTGTCGTAGAGTTAATGTTGACTTTTTAAATGTTAGGCCGGGTACAGAAAACCAAGACATAAACAATTGGTAAAGTTATAGTATACGTATCTATTCATTCATGAATATCTACTTTTATAAATTATGTACCATAAAATAATTTTTTAGTTAATGTTCCTTACTATTTATGTTTAAAGGCGTTCAATTGATTTAGTCGATGCATTGTTTGGTTTGGCGGAACGAGGTCATTGTTATGAAATACAAGATTGCTTGAAGTATCCAGTTCATAATTGTCCTGATATATTAGCTCTTGCTCTTATACAATCCAATGAGCCTCTCAATATAATTAGACATGAAGTTTTTAGTGTTATTTTCTCAATTTTCCTTGGAAACCACAGCAATTCCGATATTGTTTTAAATCGTGCATGGAATCATCAGGTATTAAAAATGTAATTTTAATTAATGTCAAAAAAAAAAAATATATATATTACTTATTTTTTTATCAAAACATTAATTATTTAGTTTAAAATCCTTCATTTTGTTCTAATTATTTTTATTCTAGAACACAGGGCTTAAACATACTTTAGCTCAGTCAATGTGTGACTGGTATATGCGAAGCGATTGTGACCATGTAAAACTTGCACGAATATTAGATATAGCACAAGACCTAAAAGTAACAAAATAATAATTCAATGTTTTTTTTATCACTAATTTTTTTATTTTTTTTTCTAGGCATTATCATTTTTACTGAGTGTTCACCAGTTTACCTTTATTATAGATCTAGCTTGTTTAGCTTCTCAGCGTGAATACTTGAAATTGGATAAATGGCTTTCAGATAAAATTCGCGAACATGGTGAAAATTTTATTGCCTCGTGTGTCAAATTTTTACAGGTAAATTAATTATTTGTTCATTAGAAATTGAATTTTTTTATAGATAAATATAGATGTATGTTTTTTTATGTCATTTTTTTATTAATCAAAACAAAATTTGAATAATGTGATTTTTTTTTAAATTAATTAAATTATAAATTATTTGATTAAACTATAATTCAACTTGTTGTATTAAATATTTATAGGTGTAATTTATTGTCTGTTAGTTATGGTAGTTAGATAAATGTATAATAATTTTTCGTGTAATATGTTATGGCCAGAAACGTTGCCCTCAACTAACTGGATATTTAGCTAAAGATGAGAATTTCTCAAAATATACAACGTTATCATCTGACACTGTTTTAACAATGTTAAATTGCTTGCGAAATATAAACTCAGGGTGAGTCTTTTATAACAAATGTCTACTTTGTTGTTCATTTTGAAAAAAAAAATGTATTTTTAATGAATTGTACATTTATAAAGGAAAATAAAATACAATTTTAGATTGTGAAAGTCAATTAGTTTTTTCAATTTACAAAAACTATTAAAGTATAATATTATATAATAACTGATATTTAATACTAACAGTATTAAATTTTTAATATTATTTACAGAAACATTACTCCAAATTTGTTAGAAGCTATTATGATAATGGTAACAAATTATACTAATATGTATATGACCAAAGTGCCACGCATTAACCCAATCGGCCCCCCACCAACTTTAATACGTCAACCACAACATCTTCGTACTATGGAAGCATCATCTTCCCAAATATATGTGAACCAGTTGTCAGGACTTGCTACTAGTCTTACTAATATTGGACTCAATCCTACGTCAGGCTCTGCGTTTACCTTACCAGGTTTAAAAATCACTCATTTCTAGTCATGCTCAATTTATTTTGTTTAAATATATGTGTCTAGTGTCATTGGGACATTTAATTCAAGCCCCTATTTCACCATCTCAAAATATGTTTGGGAATCCCTCTGGATTTAATAACTTCTCAATTATGACATCTCCATCAACAAGCGTTCAATGTACGAACATGTGGAGCCATTTAAGTGTGCCACCTAATATGATGAGTTGTATGTCGCCACTACCAGTTACTACACCAGCTATTACACCACCTACTAAACCTATACAAAATTGTAAGTACAACATACGTACATATAGTATAACAGGTAAACATGTCAATTGTATGCGGGTTTCTCGCCGTAAAGAGAGGGTTCTATCATCTGTAAGTCTAAAATATAACAATAGGAAGGTACTTCTGGACATCGATAATTCCACATATCATTACAACAACGACAATTCCACGTATCTACAATTTGGCAACTTTTCAGGGGAAGCAAGAAACCGTTTTACTTTGATTTGAAAAAAGTAGTTTTATTTATTACATATTTGTACAATGTTTATCAAATTTTAAATAGTTTTTTCTCATACTTCATACTTAAAGTATGAGAACTACTAAATTATCAGTCATAATAATTTGGTAATTATCAAATTATTTACGTTTTTCACAGTTAAATAGTAGATACGCGTTATTACATAAACGTGATTTTTGAGGGAAATAACCGATTATATGAAAAAAAGTTGATAATATAACATGTCCGCAAGGAGATTACGAATTATTTTATGTTAAATACTCATTTTTGATAAAATGTTAGGTACGTGCTATTGTCCTTAGTGTAGCGATATATTGGGTTGATTTGATGTTTTTATGCATAATTATTTTTATTAGTTTAAGGCATTAGGGAACGCATAATTTGCTGAAAATGTTGACTGGTCGACAACCACTTTTGGATCATTATTATTAAAGTTTTCGTAGTTTAAACCTTAGGGTAGGAGGTAGAGTGCGGTAGATAATGCGTGCAGATAAAAATAACTGTATGCACATTACTCAACTGCACTCCACTTCCTGTCAACCGTCACCCATACTTTTAAATGATTATAACTTTTTAACGAATGAACAAACCAATTTTTTTCACCAATTCTGTTTTTTTTAAAATTATTTTGATTATAATGGTTATTTTGAAAAGTAAAATAGTTAAGTGCAATAATAAACGTGTTTATAGTGCAAATGAGTATAAATTAATTTTAAAAAAATCTTAAAAATATTCACTAGAACAAAAGTTATTTTAATTGTTGAATCTTTAATTTCTAGTTGAAAACAGTATGTTTTTGGATAACATATCAGATCCAATGCCAAAAGAAATAGAAGACGAAGCTAATAGCTACTTTCAGCGTATTTATAGTTTGACGCCTACTATTGACTCATTAAGTATTGATGGTGTACTAGACATGTTAAAGAGATTTCTCGAGTCGTCTGTTAAACGTGAAAAGGTGACATATATTTTAGTTTAAAGTTGTAACACTATGTTTAATTTTATGATCTATTTATAAATGTATAGGATGTATTTTGCTGCGTGTTAAGGAATTTATTTGACGAATATAGATTTTTTCATGAGTATCCAGAAACAGAACTTAATATAACAGCCCAATTATTTGGCGGTGTTATACAACATGGTTTTATTGTGTAAGTGCTGTACAAAGCTTTAAAAAATTTAATGAAGTGTTGTGTGGCAAAGTCAGCAATCTAAACTTTTTATAAAGTTTCAAGTTTATAAACATTTTTGTACAATTTTGCATGCTGCATTGACGGCTAACTCTGATATTATTTCACTAAGATAAAACGTTTGGTACTACCAGTCCTTGGCAAAGAGAGCATTCATTCCGTTTATAATAAAGCAGCAAAGACAGCATTCTCCATTTCCGTATCAAAGGGATTTAATTAATATACAAGTATTCAATACTCGTTTGAGTATTTTATAAATATTTATTTAAAAAAATGAATTCTGCTGTGCGAAAATGTATTTTACCTAAGATGCTTGGTATGTCTTTCAGTCCAGCATGTCTCTCGAAGTGGTTTTTTTAAAATACATTTTTTTTGTTGACTATAGCTACAAATCAAAAGGTTTGCGTATTTTCCTGTTTGCGCATATTATAGGGACGCATTTAGTTGTTGAACGTTACTATACGCAATACCAAAGTTCTGTTTTCATAGTTTCCATTGCAAAATAACAATCTCCCCATGTATGTTGGTAGCTAAAGCCACAATACAGCATATCACATCCTTTATTATTTATTATTCACATTCTACTAATTCGGTGACCACGGTTAATAACATTAAACAGCATTACAACAAACTATTAAAAATAAAAACAAAAAAATAATGTAATACAGGTTTTTTAATTTTATTAAAAAACACTGCGCTTTTAGATTATCGACTTTGTCACGCCACGTCTCACTGTTCCAGTATTTTTTATTATTATTATTTATTTATATATAAATATATTTTTTTTTAGAAATTATAAAGTTCTATGTTTAGCTCTCCGTTTTGTTTTGGATTCCTTAAAATCACCTCCAGACACAAAAATGTATAATTTTGGAATAATTGCGTTGAACCGTTTTAAAAATCGATTGAAGGATTATCATCAGTATTGCACCCACATTGCAGCTATTCCTCATTATCACCAATTTCCTCCGCATCTTATTGAGGTATTTTAATAACAATACGTTTTTTATTAGAAAAAAAATTCATTTTTTTCTATTAGTATCCACATAACAAAAGTATATTTTATTTAATTTTGATTTTTTTTTAGTATGTAGAATATGGCAAAACTTCTCAAGAGCCACCACCATCATCTAGACTTATAGAACAGACTGAGATGGTACAAGGGCCAGTTACAGGCGATCAACAGAGTTCAGTAAATATTGCTGTTAATACCACGATAGCCTCAGGGATACCAGCAACAGTAAATATGAGTACGAACTCTTTAAATGCTTTAAAGCCATCAAGAGTAAGTATTTACATTGAATTATTTAACTTTTTTTTTAATATTGATACTGTTTATATATTTGTGTAATTTTTTTTTTCTTTCATGTAGCCTTCGTTTGCAATTATTCCATCTGTAGATTCATTACTTGACACAAAAAATAAAAACATTATCATTCCACCCGAAAGCGTTCAAGATAAAATAGCTTTTATCTTTAACAACTTGAGTCAAGTTAATGTTCAAGTAAAGGTAAATTATACTTTAAAGTTACTTACAATGTTACACCACACAAAAAAAATGAACTGATTTAATAATTTAATTACATATTTGTAGTGCAACGAAGCCAAAGAAATTATCATTAATGATTATTTGCCGTGGCTATCTCAATATCTAATTATGAGACGAGTCATTATTGAAACAAATTTCCATGCATTATATTTAAATTTTGTAGACTGTTTTGATAATGCAAGATTTAATTCTTTGATTATGGAAGACACTTTAAAAAGTATAAAAGTGAGTTGAGTTTTCAGTTAAATTAATAATTTTTTGTTATGAGTAAAATGTAAATGTATTTAACTTTTTTCAGGTGCTGTTGGGCTGCGCTAAAGATTTGAACAATTTTTCAGAAAGAAATTTGTTAAAAAATTTAGGCCATTGGTATGGGATGATTACAATAGGAAAAAATAGACCCGTATTGATGAAAGATGTCGACCTTAAAATGTTGTTGGTTGATTCGTACAGTAAAGGTGTTAAAGAATTACTATATACTGTACCATTTATAACAAAAGTTTTAGAATCGTGTTCTAGAAGTAGAGTAAGGGCAAACAAAATATATTAATAAAATATTTTAGTTGATTTCTTTTGATTTAAAAAAAATATATACATCTAGATATTTAAACCGAAGAATCCTTGGACGATGGCTATTATGAACTCTTTAGCTGAACTTCACCGTACTCCTGCTTTAAAGTTATCATTAAAGTTTGAAGTGGAAGTACTTTGTAAAACTTTACAACTTAATCTCATGGTAAAAAAAATGGTTTTTTGAAAATAATTCTTTTTAAAAATATTTTCTTATTGTTTGTATTTTTTAAGGAGTTGCAGCCTTCTTGTATACTTAATAATCCTGAATTACAAAAGAATCCGAATGAGAAACCAATTACTGATGTTGAGGAAGTGCCAGTAGAAGAACAGATGGAAACAGATATTCCTGGTATGTAACGTAACTTTAATATTTATTTAATATAGTGTTTTAATTACAATAAGTACTATTATTAATATGCTTAATTTATTATTTCTTACAAACATTATGTATATTTAGTATAATATATATTTTTAAGTATTGATGTATTAAATAATAAATAATAAAGTTCATTAGGTAAAGTATTTTAAGTTTTATTTAAAATTTCTGGTAAAAATATAGTGACACAATGCGACATGATTAATAAATTAAATTAAATAAAAAACAATTGATATTTTTTTGTTTTATCTAAAACAAATAATTAAATATTGCCTATTATTCGTTTAAAAGTAAAAATTATTCCTAAGTAATAATTGTCACCTTTATTTTACTTTATAGTATACTTCTAAAAATATTAAAATATATTTAGATTACTACTAATTGTCAGTAAATAAATTATTCATATCTCAGCCATTTTGTGCAGAACTATATTTTAAAAAATCATACTATTAGGAATAGTATTATGATAGCATTTTTTATTATGTCAGTTTTTCAAACATTTAATTAAGATTACATTTTTTTTAATAGAAGATTTAAATTTGAATACTTATTTTAAACCTATCTTATCTCTTAAATATTGTTTATTTGTTAAACAAATGCAATTTTTTGTAGCGATTATGACTTCCGAAATGCAACACACAAAGATCGCTTCAGCTGTACAATCAGTGTTTATATTTAATGATGAGATGGTTACTGAAATAGTGGCATCTGGAGGAATTAGAACACTTACGTCATCTATTAGTGAAATTTCACCTTCACCTATGATCGACGATAAATATAACCTTTCAACTCTTGAAAATGCATCACTGATGTCGCCAATTATTGCTATTAATACTCTAGTAAATAACACACACATTAAATTAGTCTACTTTAAGCTTATTTTTAAACATTTTTTATTTTGTAGGTACCACGATTTGTAAAAATACCAAAACTTAAGGGTTGTGTATGGGCAGCTGTCCACCGAACAGTCCGAGATTGGATCGAACCGGTAGTGCAAAGAACTGTTAAAATAGCTGCCGATACTACTATAGCTATTGTCAAAAAAGTAAATTAATTAATTTAATTTAAATGCTAAATGATAGGGTTTTTATTAAAAATATGTTACTAGGATTTTAGTATGGATCCAGATGAATTGCTTATGAGGAAAGCGGCTCATTTATTTATAGAAAAAATAACTTCGTCAAACGCATTGGATAGAATTCGGGAACACGTTTTGTACACGTTAAATTTAAATTTAAAACAATACTTTATAAGTGTAATCGCGGTATGTGTATTTTGTATAAACAAATTGGGTTTGAATTAGGTTTTTAATTTAAAGTTTATTTTCATTTCAGTCACCTAAACAAGCCCAGATAGAACTAATTGACAAAGCATCTACTATTTGTGCAAATGATCATTTAGGATTGACATGTTCTTTTATTCATCAAAATGTATCTCAAAAAGCAAAACTTGAAATTGACGACACTTTAAAAACAGTAAGTTCGATTTATATGAAATACTATTACAAATGTTACCTGATCTCATTATTATTATTAACACCTACTTTTTGTAGGAATATGAAAAGTGCAAAATGGAATCGCGTCGTTATGCTGGACAAGATGTAGCTAGTAATCAAGCAGCTCAATTCTTACCAGATTTGCTTCGTAACAAAGTTAATTTACCAACTCCTCAGGTGTTAGACCTTTATGACGAATACTCAAAATCTATACCAAGCTTTCAACCATTGGACCAATCGGCAATTGCATTATTCGTGGCCAAGAATGTCAGTGTTATCAGTGTTTAAAATGTATAATAACATTACACATTATTATTTATTTGTATTTCCAATTTTTTTTTAGAGTAACCCACCCGATGAGATGACTATTATTTATGAAAAACTTATCAATGATGTTGAAACACTTTTACAATTGTACTTGGCAAATCAACGAATTCTTTCTAATTCAACACAACCAACAAACTTGCATAGTGTATTGGAAGCATTAATATCATTGAGAAGAAGCCGTGATGTTGTTACTGCAGCAAATGTTGTCAATAAAGTAAAAACAGCGTAATTGTTTGTTATACATGGTTATAATTTGTTTATTATAATTATTTGATTTCAAGGTTCTCGAGAGCTTTTTAGACGGTTTAAATCCTACTGCAAATCGAGATTTGGATATGACAATCAGATATCGTGACACGCTCCTTAATATATTTAGGGCATTTCAAGATCCTCGAGCATACAACATACAGTGGACTAACAAAACATTGACCAAGTTGGTTTTTGTTCATTCACTCTCAAGAAAATTTTTAATTAAAATGCCTTTTTTTATTCTTTTAATTAGGGCTCTTATTGGAGCTAGAGATGATTTGCGATACAATCTGGATGCAATTGACATACTGATTCGTGCTGGTATGGTGAATATGACTATGTATGATACGTACTTAGCTATGTCTATGGAGAATGGAACCAACTATGTCGCTATGGCATATGTTAAACAATTTTTGCAAAATTATTTAATCGACAATCGGACTAATTCTCCAATTACCCAACAGCATTTACAATCGTCAATCGATGCTATAAGTTCAATTTTGCAAAGTGGTCTCACTACACCCGAGGGGTATATATTTATTATATTATTAGAATTATACAATAATAAGTATTTTTGTGTTATATTGTGTTTGTTATAGACTGGCAAGTATTCTTGAAGTGATAAGACCGTCGCATGCAGAAAGTGATTCTATAGATAGACTGACAAATAATAATAACACATCAACACTAAAAATTCAGCATGGAATGTTACGAGTTAGTGTAGATTTTTATTACTACAAAATTAGATTTCAAAAATATTCGTTGTCTCTTTACATTAATAAATAATTGAAAATATTTATACAGGGAAGAGATGTTGATGATCCTCCTGGTTTGCTTGAAAAAACTGAATATTTACTAAAAGAATGGTTGACTCTTTATACCAGTTCACCAAATAGAGATCCTGCGAAAACATTTAATATTTATATTCATCAAGTGAGTTATTACTGTTGTGTTTAAAAATTTTTTTCAACTACATGTTTTGTCTGCTTAGATGAACGTTCAAGGAATTTTGAAGTCCGATGACATCATTACTCGTTTTTTCCGACTTAGCTCCCAGTTGATAGTGGAGTTATGTTATCGTCAACTACCAGACTCAACTCCGTCTTCGACAGCAGTGCGGACAAAACTTTCCAACACTATCGATGCCTATGTAAACCTCATAGTGATGTTAGTGAAACATTCTGGCGATACAAACGCCATAACTATCAAAACTAATCTTTTAAATAAAGTAATTACACAATTTAATTTTTTATATTCCCCTTAAAATTGTTTTCTATGTATAAATATATTATTAGGTACTTGGTATTATTGTTGGTGTATTACTTCAAGATCATCAGCTACAAGGTCCCGGTTTTTATCAATTGCCATATCACAGAATGTTAAGTATGCTCTTTCTTGAGTTGAACACACCGGATCCAGTACTAGAATCAATCAATAGCGCTGTAAGATTGGATTACGTAGAAATAATAAAATTAATAGTAAACTAAATTTTATTATTTTTGTAATAGACATTAGCTGCCTATTGCCATACTTATCACCTACTTCGACCTAAGAAAGTTCCTGGTTTTGCTTTTGCTTGGATAGAATTGATATCTAATCGTGTATTTATTGGTCGAATTCTAAGTTTAACTACACAGGAAAAGGTAAATAAAATATAACTTAATGTAATTATAATAGAAAATATATATATATACATATATATTAGATAAGATGGAAGTAAACTAACAGTATTTTTATTTTTCATATGAAATAATATATCTATATGCTTTTGATAAATTTAGCGGCAGAACACAAATGATCAAAAGCAAAATACCGATGTCCAAGGATGGAATTTCTATGCTCAACTGCTCGTTGATCTGTTAAAATACTTAGCGCCATTTTTACGAAATACTGAGCTAGCTAAACCTGTTCAGTTATTATACAAAGGAGCATTGCGAATAATGTTGATATTGTTGCATGATTTTCCAGAGTTTTTGTGCGAGTATCATTATGGATTTTGTGATGCCGTACCGCCCAATTGCGTTCAGGTTTTGTTTTCTTATTTGCCTTATCCTATACCATAAGTGAAGCTTGCCAAAAATAATTATTTTAATTCTGAGCATGTGATAAAATAATTTTTAACAAATTTTATTAGATGAGGAACTTAATATTGTCTGCTTTTCCACGGAATATGCGCTTACCAGATCCGTTTACTCCGAATTTAAAAGTAGATGTTCTTAAAGAAATAGCAATATCTCCAAAAATTGGTCCAGACTTCCAAAGCAACATTCAACCTCAAACTTTCAAAAATGTAAAATACTTAACATACGGTATGTTGCGGTGAAATATTGAACATATTGTAATCGTTTTTGATTATTGTATAGAATTTGGATTTGTATCTAAAGACACGGTCTCCAGTTACTTTTTTGTCTGACATCCGTTCTACTTTGCAACAAACCAGTGTCGAACCAGGGATGCGTTATAATTTATCACTCTTAAATGCTATTGTTTTGTATGTTGGGACCCAAGCTATACAACACATTAGAAGTAAAGGTCAAGTGCCTAACACTTCAACGATTGCACATTCTGCACATATGGACATATTTCAAAATTTATCAGTGGACCTTGACAACGAAGGTAAATACCAGTAATATAACAAGAATAAGCACAGCCATGCTACTGGTTTAAACATAGTAACATATTTTGCAAGTGATTGAATATTTTAATCTAACTATAATTAACTCTTTTGGAGTGCTAACATGTTCTTCTGCTATGATGATGCAAAATTAAAAATACGCATCACTTGATAACGACTGGACCGAATTGGCTCCCCCTTGGACGAAGCCAGAGCAACTCAAAGAGTTAATAAATAAAAAATTTAATTTTTTTGTTTTAGGTCGATATTTGTTTTTAAATTCCATGGTAAATCATTTACGTTTTCCTAACAGTCACACACACTATTTTAGTTGTACCCTTTTGTTATTGTTTGCTGAAGCTAACAGTGAAGCTATTCAAGAACAAATAACACGGTTAGAACATTTTATATTAATCAACGTATAGAGTAAAATTGGTATTTTATTTTAATATCAATATTGTTATTTAATTATGTTATAGAGTACTTTTGGAAAGACTTATTGTAAATAGACCACATCCTTGGGGCTTGTTGATCACGTTTATTGAATTAATTAAGAACCCACTTTATAAATTTTGGGACCACGAATTTGTACACTGCGCACCTGAAATAGAAAAGTAAGTCAAATTGGTCAAGTATTTTTTAAATATTTTATTATACGTAATTAACTAAACATAGTGTTCATAATATTAGTGGACAGAAATAAATGTAGGTACTTGTTAATGAATATTATTTTTTTATAGACTTTTTGAATCAGTTGCTCGTTCTTGTATGGTCCATAAACAAACAAGCCAGCCACCAACTTTTGCCAGTATGTCAAGAATGTGAAAATTGAATAAAACGTTTTAATTTAATGTAATATATGTATGTTATTTCCAATACTTGATTATAGTCAGTTAAAAACCAAAGAAAAAGAAAATTTTATATCTGTATTAATTTGTAGTGTAAAAGTCATGTAATTATCATTTATTCAATTTTGTAAGTTGTAAAATTTAAGAGTGTTGTATTTAAAGTGTAGTCATTTTCTTTGTACTCATATATTATATAATATTTTAAGTTCCTATTATATAAAACTAAATATTTCAATTAACCAAATAAATATTTCCTAAAATTATATTTGTTTGTTATGAGTATCTATGGACATTAGAGTGGAGCAAAAAAAAAATCTATCTTCAACATTTAAATGGGATAATCCTGCTAACCTTATATTATGCATAAAAAGACACTGAAAATTTAAGATAAAAAAAAAAAATCTACTGGTTGTTCAACGACCGGAAGACGGACCTGAACATTTTTTAATACATAAATTTTAATTGCATAAAAAATGTTATTATAGAACATACTACCTAAAAAACATGTAAAAGTTCAAAAAAAACTAGTCATCATTTTAATACAAATAGCTACAAAATTTTATAAATCATTAAATTATTACCAAATTACCCATTATTTTTTTTTATTTGCTTCAATTATTATTAATTCACATTCATTTTCTTCAAAAGGTTTAAATAAAATTTCATAAAATTTTTAAGAAAATAATCAAACATTTTAGTCAGAAATTATTAAAAGTTTGAAGTCTGCATCTTTATTTTGACACCCTCCCCTTGAATATTGCTTAGCGACGGCACTGCAAATATTGTTATTAGCATTTCTAATTGTAGTATTTTCGCCATACCTATAGTTTACATATTTTTGTTAATACGTCATTAAATTTAGTATTATGTATATTATGACTTTTAAGCGATAAACAATTTTTTCACTTATGTTAAAAACATATTTTTTTGGCAGTTCGAGAATAGTGCCTCTGGGCTCTGTTATACAGGGTGGGGCGGAGCCGACTGACGAGTTTTGAAGGGCTATAAATAACGATTAGTAGAACTTAGAAAAAATCTGTTTGTTTTATTAAAATCAGTGTGAAATCCCGTTTTTTAAGTTATGTTTTTAAAATTATGCCTCCAAGATGGCGGTTGTCAGGAGCAATAAATTGCTGTAGCCGATATTTAGTGTTTACTCATCGATCTTAGGATCTGTAAATAAACAGAATTTTCTATACTAAGCTGAAAATAACCCACGGAAACTCCATGAAAGACCATTCTACTCCACTAAAGTGACAATGTCCCAAATTGGGAAATACTGGGTCCCGACTTGGGGTGATCGGCTGGTACTTTTTTGAGGAGGACAACAGGGCTGTCACTGTCACTTCGGCGCGATATGTTCTAATGTCGGACACTTAACTGCAGCACTGGTTGGAGGAAATGGATAAAGAATATGACTTGGGGGATGTATGGTTTCAACTAAATAGGGGCTACAGCGCACACAGCTCAAAATTTGTTAGTTTTTTATTCGACAAATGTTCCCTGAGTGGTTGGTATCTCAAGGGGTGACGTAGGCTGGCCAACACGCTTTCCTGATTTTAGCATGTGCGTTTTTGTTCCTCTGGGGCTTCCTTAAGGATAAGGTCTTCAAACATCGTCCCTATACCTTAGCAGACCTGAAGGAGAGAATCACTGAAGAAATCGTGGTCATACCCATATTAAATGTGCCGAAGATCGTGGGAGAACTTCGGAAATTGCTTACAACAATGTATTGCTAATGACGGCCTCCATTTTGGTGATATCATTTTCAAACCGTAACAATAAACTCAACAATAAATAGCTAATAATTTAATTTGTTGATATTATTGTAATATCTTATTACATTGTCTTGTATTATTTCAAGTGTAATACACATTTTTCAGCATGACGTTAATTTTAGTGTACGCTAAAATTACAAAAGAGCTACACGTTTTTAACATAAGTGAAAACATTTTTTAAGCTCTTATGAAACAAATTACCATCAATTAAAATATGTTTAAAAAAATAAATTAGTTGCATACATTTTTTAGTATGTCATAAAAAGTATAAAATGCATAATTTTTTTCAAAGTTAATGACTACATGATTCGCAACCAAATTCTATATTATTATAGACACTATAAACTAGCAATTAACTTGTATTCAATTATCGACAAACAAAATATACTAATATAATTATTATCTGTCAAAATTATTTAAAATTATTACCGAGTTAGTTGTGTGCTAAAAAACATCTAGTTTACAATAAATGTTAAAAAAATTACTCTCAACTATACATTTTAAAAAGACATTATAATTATTTCATTATAATCTAGAAATAACTTAAACAACACTTGTGGTTATGTATTATAAAATATTTAATTTCATATTACGTATTTTATTTCATAGATTTAAGCACAGAAAAATGTATAGGTACATTGCCAACTTAGTATAAAACAAACACAACTACTTTTCAATAACTGATAAACATAAATTGCAATGCCAACAGTGGCTCATTTTATTGTTTATTAAATATAAACATTTTGATCCACTCTTTAATAATATAAACACTACAAATTACAATAATAAATAGTATCGCATTTTTATAAAAATATACGATAACGTAATAATTAATTTATACATAAAAAAAAATCACAATTGTTAATAGTTCCAAAATATTATTATAGTTTGGTAATTATATACATTTCGCATATATCATAGACGACACTAATATATTTATATATCATTTGTGTTAATGGACACCACTATAAAAAAATATTAATTAAGTTAATATAATCTATTACAAAAAAAAAAAATATTAGTTATTACATATAATTATACTATAAATCATGGAAGTCTTATTCTAGTTTTTAATATTTGATAAACCAGATGTCTATAAAAAATGATACATTATTATTCCTAACAATATGAGTATTCTTCTTCATGAATATATTCAAGCTAAAGAATTGTCTAAAAAAAAGACCGACACACAATAAGCGTTATCAAACTAAAATTAATTTTTACAATGGATGTCATATATTAATTATTATTGATTAGAATTTAAGAAAAAACGAAACAAGAGAAGGTAAAAATAAATAAATAAATAAATCACACTCTCGTAAATAATTTCTAACAAAAACAAACAATCCAATAAAACCCAGGTTATATATACTATTAATATTATTATTAAGATCGTTAATGAAGTCATGCATTTGCTGTTAATTTCTCATGTGATGTATGGAAAAAATGGGGAATAATGAAATTAAATTTAATAAAAAAAATCCCAATAGTACGCATATAATCCTTGCATCAAAATTATTAAACGCGTAATATTTCTAATGATTTGTTGTAACAAATTGCTATCCAGTCCGGCTGAGTAGCGCCCCACTGTATTTGATTTATTTCACCTTCGGCAGCGGTGTAAGCCAAAATCGGATCTTCAATGGCTCTAGGCATTTGCTGAATATCCCAAATCAGTGCCTGGTGATCATCTCCTTAGACAATTAAATAAGCATTTTAAACATTATCATTTATAAATATCAAGTCATTTTTCCTGTTAGTAATGGGTAAAAACATACCTGCAGTACAAATATGGCATGATGAATGCGGGGCCCATGCGATACCGTTAACACAGGCTCGGTGGTTGTTCAATCTGGCTACTGGTGTGCAAGGCACCCTGACATCTAGTATTATTACCTACAGTGATAATAAATTATAATGTTAAGAAATTCTAGTTGGAAATAAATAATCTATATTTTATTGTTCACTTACTTCACACGCGTCCATTGCGACAGTTGCAAGGTAATTGGGATCTTGCTTATTCCAAGCAAGTCTGAGTAACGGGGAGTGTTGTGGGTCTTCGTAGATAATAGTTGAATGTTCGAGATGTCGCAGGTCAAACATTCGTACGGAACCATCGGCTCCTATAAGGTTTTTTTTTTAAATGTCAAATTAATTGTATTATAATTTTATTATCTGGTGATTAAAATAGTCATACCAACTGAAGCAAACATATCACGACCTCCACCAGCACGACTAAAAGCTATATCATAAACTTCTTTATCATGAGCAATGAGTTGGGTTTTTACGTGCCCAGCAACTGAATTAATTCGTCCGACTATCTGTAAAAGAAAAATGTAGAAACAATTTTACCACAAAGCATATGTTTTATGGTTAATTGTATATATTTAATTACCTGTGTTGTTTCAAGACCCCAAATTGTACAAGTTGTATCGATACTAGATGTACCAATTAAATTTGGATCGATTTCATTCCAATCAAACGATGTAAGTGGCGCACAGAAATCTGAGTTTTTATTCTTAAAAAAAGATAACAAATTAATTATATTTAGTTAAGTTACAATATAATAATTGTTTGATCCCTATAATACAACAGTAATTTTCAATAAAAGTAATAATAATAATATAATATTATAAGTAATAATAAGTCTATACATTTAATGTGATTGTGACAATATAAAATAAGTAATAAAACTTAAAACCAAAACAATCATAGTTTTGGTGTAAGAATGTATTATTATTGTTTATTCATAAAACTTACGTTATTTAAAATACATTCTAATCTTGTTTCTGGTTCACCAGCTCTCCAAATTCGCAAGTAATCACCACTAGTAGCTAATAAATCTGGAAACACACCTTTCTAAAGATACCAAAAAAAAAACAATAAGAAAATGTACAAAGATAGGACCAACAAATAACCTTCAGTTATTATTAAAAAAATAACCTACGCTATCAGGTATCCACATGATTTTTGTTGTAGGGTAAGGATGATCAAATGTACTCTTGGGGCTAAATTCTGAAACTTCTTCATCTAATGATACAATTTGAACTTTATTATTATATTCTTCTACAAAACTTCCAATTGCCAATCTGTGAAATTACAAATAAATAATTTTAAAGTTGTATAACCAATAATTGAATAGTTTATAGATACAAAATAGTATTTAGTTCTTACCGAAACCGTTTATCTGGGCGTACTGACCAATTCATACTGTACAAAGGCCACGGTGCTTCATATTTGTAAATTTCTTTGCGCTTGGGTGTGGATCCGTGAACTGCCATTTTTCTTAGATTATACCTTTAATAAAATTAAAATAAATAAAGTCTCATAAGCGTTTACCTTATGCTATATGGCTACACTAGATAAGTGCAACACATTTTCTATTATATATATGGGTCAAAACATAAAATACAAATGAACTATGGAGCGACTCCCTTTAGATTTTTTTTGAAATTACTTTACATGTCTATCACAACGAGAAGAATGTTATTAAATTTTTTTTTGATTTTTTGTTCAATTATTTTGGTCATGGTCGTAAAAAGTATTTAATTTTTTTTTATGGACACTTCTTTTTATAATTTTTTTTAGTATCTTATCTTTAAAAAAAAAAATTAAAAATCAGTTCTTATGTAAAATAATTTCACCTTTCTGAAATAAATATTGATTTTGTGTGTAACAAAAAGTCATTAAAATTTAGTTTAAAAAGTTTATTGAGTCTAAAAAGTTGTTTTATTTTCGCATGGCATAAAATTTGAAAATTGTTTTAATATTTTTTTAGAAAGCTCAGATAATTTTACATAAAATGTGTTAATTTCAAACTGAAATGTCCATAAAAAATAAAATTTCATAGAAAAGTCGAAAAAATAGAAAATTATCTTTTTTTTACACATAATTATGTCAATTATTTTTATTACTGTGGTTTGTTTTTACAACTTCTGTTTTTACAATACATACCTACTTAGTAACTTTAGATACGAATGGAAGTAAACACTCCAAGTAACAAAGGAACATATTTAAAACAAGATATAAGATATAATAAGATAATATAAATACATATATATTGTTGAAGAATTATATTCCATTTTAATGACTACTTTTTGAAATATGTGTATAACTTTTAATGCATACCTACTCTACAAATATTATGTAATCAGCGTAAAAACACTACAAGATGACATAATAAAAAAAGGGTGTCCGGTAAAGTAAATTTGTTCCGTTTCTGAACTACAATTTATAACTAAGTTAGATTTAAGGTTTAAAGGGTCAAAAATTATATACCTAACGTTTTCTGGCTACGTGTCTGAAACGTAAACACGCATGAAGACTTATTTACAGTTTATTGTTAGTTGGCGCTTACTAATAACGAGTATGTGTATGTTGTTAATCTTCTTGGTCGCTCGAAGGGTTTGTTGTCGTTTTAAGTGTTCACGCTGTCCACTGCAATGCACATTATGGACTATCACCAATGAGTTGGGTCGGCACTAGCATTGTTGCTGGTAGTGTGTTTCTACCGTGTGATATACTTGTCTTTGTCCGTGTGTGTGAGCGTCTTTCCAACAAATAAATGTATTGACTTTACTTTTGGCCGTTTCACCTAGTCTATTGGCGATCGCGCACCGACAACGAAGTCGATAATAGATTACGGTTCCTCTTCGCAAGGACGGCGAACAACAAACACAATATTACAAATATTTATAATATCAAAAACCTTGCAAAACGTAAACAAACGCCGTGAGCTTGATAGCGGCCGCTGCTGGTACTGAGGCTCGGGCGCTGGGCGCTGTGCCTGGGCCAGGGCCGCGGTTGTGGTCGGAGGGTAGCGATGGAGGCAGGCTCAACGACCTCCATGTCGTCACCGCGGTATCAGTTGGTCGACCATGATTGATAACTACTTTAAAGGCCGAAAGAGGTTTAGCGTCAGCTTACAGGCGACCGATCGTTTTTCAGTTAACATATTTTTCTATAATAGCCAATAGGTACTCGTTGGTTTGGATGGTATCCATCGACTCAAGTTTCACGTACCGATTTTTAAACAATCAATTATTTGAAACAGGATTTGCTCGGTTGTCTCCCGTAGTTGGGCCGGCGTCGCCGTCGAACTACGCCAACGGTCGTCTGTTCTCTTCTCTGTAAAGTGTTATCCGTTGTCCAAACGCTTCGATCATGTACGTCCTCGTTAAGCCAGGCATGTCGTCCAAGTCACGGTGTTCGAATGCAACCAGTCAAACCCAACAGCAATCGAGCACTAGCAGACAGCAACAGCAGACGGTACAGGAACCGGTTCTAAACGATGGCGGACTGTTCAGTCCAATGTCGATTGACAATTCGGTTTCCGCTGTTGTAGGCGAGTACCTGGAAAATAGGAATATTGATGTGAGTTTATTATTTGTATTTAATACCAGGACATAAATACTAACTTGCACAAAATTTTGATTTCTAACGGTATAAATGTATGACATTTAAATAGGTATGTTCAAATTACATTGGCAGTTCAATATTTGTACATCATCGAATTTCAAACTCTTTAAAATGTTAACGTTTAAATGCTATAAATTTTTTTTGTCAACAAATTGTTATTGTTAAACATAAAACAACAACCATGATAAAAAAATGTTTGCTTATTCCTAATGGCCAAAATAAATATGTGATGTGGATTGTCCAAGTTATGTTATTGTGTATGTAAGTATAGGTATGGGATGCATTTATATAGAGACGGAGTAGAAACATAGATTCGTACATTTGTTTCAAAATCAATGAACCATTTTAATCAATGCACCATGACTCGATTGTTGTTTATCTATGCTACCCAGTACCTGTTCTCTTGGTTGCTTGGCAACAAAACGAGTGCCTTAAAGTTTTTAATTTTTTTTTTATTACATCTACTTATCAGAAATAAAGTAATAACAGATGTTCAAAACATGAAGATCATGATAACATAATAATACATATTTATGGTTAATAAAATGTATTTAACATTTAATAGCGTTACAACTTTTAACACAAAATTATAAAAAATTTCATAACACTAACATTTTAACCAAAACTAAAAGAACGTTTTCAAGCCCTGGAACTGAAATTTGAAAAACTGAACAACAATAGTTTACCTATAATTTTTTTCTATTGTTAGATTTGTTTGATCTTTATTTTTCTTAAAAGCATATAATAGTCCAATCACATTAGGTATTTATTTAAAAAAAATTGATACAAAAGCAATAGCCTTTTTTACTAAAAACTATTTACTGTTGACTTTAGGCCAACATAGTCTAACCACTATGTCAATATTTTTGATAAAAAGAATGTATAATTGACCAAAGGTTATATGATTTTATTTAGATAATTGTTTATTGTCCCTATTGTTTATTGTAAAATGGACCAACTTATATCTAAAACGGGCAATGTACAAATATAAATCAAACATTTTGTATGATGTAGGAGAGCAAGACAAAGTTGTTTGAGTAAAATAACTTGATAATTCATATCCGAATAATTTTATCTGTTCACACATATCTTGGAATTATGATTTTACTCATATTTGTAGTCCATTCAATAAAAGGTCTAAAATTATTTTGTTTGAAAGTAACAGAGGTGTAGCTTAAACCCAATCTGCAAAAAAAAAACATCTCTTTAGGAGTCTTTAGGGAAGGCCAAAATAATATATTCTCTTATACCTATGTTATAGGTAAAATGTTAGAATGGTTTAGGTATGTTTTTGAAGGGCTCATTAAGTAATCATTGAATGTAGTTTTAAATTGCACAGATGAAAAGCTAGCGATCTTTCTCTACTTTCTTTTACTAAAATTTTGTAAAAACCAATTTATTTAAGTTTATAAGGTTACACAAAATACATATGAAAATCACATATTTTATATTTACCAAATATAGCAACTAATGATGGGACTATTCGAATAAAAAAAATTCGAATCTTCAATCTGATTTTTCGAATATTTTATCATTTTCTTTGGAGGATTAATTAGATTAAAAAAAATAATAATTAAGAGACAACTAAGGTGTTCTTGATCTATTTTTAATAATCTATTTTTACTATTCGAATTATTCGAACTATTCAAATTATTCGATAGCTATTTGAATGTTCGAATTATTTTCATACGAATAGTATTATTCGATTATTCGAATAATTCAAATAATAAAAAAATTTGATTCGAGGTCTCAGCTCTAATAGCAACCGACTACAATTTAAGTTACATTTGTAATATTGTATAGGTTTTACATAATTATCTGATAGTTTTTATACAAATCGTATTGTAAGCTCTTTAAAAAAATTGATTTTGCGTTTTATAATTTTAATAATTATAAAATTAATTTTGTTACAGAGTTCGTACATAACAAACCCAAGTGTAGTCACCAAAAGTGCAGTTGAATATTTGAATATGCTGATTGTTCAACATAATTTTAAAACATTGGAGTCTTGTGATGATCAAACTTGTATTCAGGATGCTCAAGACCAGGTGTCTGAGTATGTAAAATACACAATTGATGAATTCAATTTTTTTTAAATTAATAATTTATTTGAAAGCATTTTAATTTTTTAGATTTGAAAGCTGGAGTCGTACTATCAAAAATGAAGCTTATAAAAAAGAACTTCAACGCATGAAAATACCGTTATATAGTCATTTATATTTAAATATTCACTCTATATTTGGCCATAAACATGTAAAAGACTTTTTTCAACCATATGAATATTTATTTGAAAGTGCCAAAAAAACTTTATTTCTACAAGATTTGCAAAAATCGTACGACATGGATGATATTTCTAATTTAACGTGTATTACTAAATTCAGGTAAATCATTTTTATGTGTTTGATAGATACAAAAAGACCTTGTCCAAGTGTTATACTAACATAATAATTAATACTATCAGAACAGAATTATTTTTATATAATATGAATACAAGTCTTTATCATATAACATATTGATGCTTACAGAGAAAAAAAAACGTATGTGCAAAATGTATCATTTGAGATGTTAGTATGTGGAAATAGTGAATGCAGAAATATAATTTTCTTTATGGTTAAAACCCTCTAATAATATATCTTTATTAATAGAAATTAGAAGAACATGAAAGTTTCCCCTTGTAAGCTATAACATATTGTAAATGATCGAGATAAAGAAAAAAAAACACCAGAATACAACTTTTTTTTTAAAATATTTATGTGATTGGCAGTATCAATAAATTTAATTTAATTATTAAAATTATTGTATCTAATAGATACGGGCTTAAACCCGTTTCTTAAGACTTCAGTATTCTATTGTTACTACTTCAGTTCTTCCTATTTTTAGATATAGTTGCATTAGAATGTACATATCATTATATAAATAAGCATACAACCAATCAATATTTTTTCTGGTATTTTAACTAATCAATAAAATTAATTTGAATTAATTAAAAATTCTTACAGTCTGGTATTTTTTTTTCTACTACATTAAATATTATACTTTGAACTGTAAATATATAATAAAGTCTACTCCTTAGAATTATTATAAAATCTGTAGTAATATTTGTACTCTCACACAATTAAACAAGTTATTTATTTATATTTTTATAGGCAGAATAAGTATATAATTGAGACAAACAGTGAATTTCATGCATGTTTAATGCGTTTTCTTGACAGTCGACATTTGTTAAAACATGTAAGTTGTATAGTTCTTAATTTTTTTTAAATGCACTATTCATGCTAAAATAATTTTTAGGTTGTAGAAAACTGGTTTGATATTATTTTTCCTATTGACGATCCAATAAAAGTGGTTAAAGATTATTTTGAAACAAACACCGAAAAGTCATCAGTTAATGAGACAAAAAAACTAGACGAATCTGAAACTAATAATTTTTCTAATATAGGAAAAGATGAGAATAATGAAAAATGTATATCTACAAACAAAATTAAAAATTTGGAAAAATGTGTATGTTTAATACTTTGGAAATATATTTTTAATTTTTTTGTGTACTTATTACTTCATATTTTTTTTGATTTTTAGAGATCAAGTAAAGGTGGTTTGCATAATACACAAAATGATATTACAAACAGTAACATTAGCAAGAACACCAAAAACTCCAATAATACAGCTGTTTATAATAATGTAAGTGTATTATTTTGTTCTTGATTTCCTATATATGATAAGGTAAGTAGTAAAATATGAATCCACAAGTCATATATGGTATTATATTTTAAGTTATGTAAAATATTTAATTTAAATCAACACTAAAAACTGTTATTGTCATGAAACATTTAATTTAAAAAATAATGATTATGCTTTTTGTTAATTTTTTATCATGTTTGGAAATACTAAATATTATTGATGTTCAATAATTTAATATCAAATATTAATTATTACCTTATATGCAAATTTTCACTTTAAAAAAATCACTTTAAAACAATGATTATCAATTTTTTTCTTTGAAATTTTTGAAATATGGATATTTATTTTATTTTTGTTACTTTTAATGCTTTATATACATTTAAATATTTAAAATGTAGATATGGTACATATCGTAAGTCCATCTATCTTTTTTCAATAACATTTTTAAGTGTTAACATAAATCCATCATTTGTTTTTTGTATACAATACTAAGTTAACAACCATAAAAAGATTCAATCCACGAACAGATAAAATTTCAACTACAGAAGATCACCAACAACCTCATTGTAGCAAAAGTCTCATTCCACCAAGCATCAGTACAACTAAAAAAGTAAATACATTTAGACATTTTTTTTAATGATGAAATTTATGTATAATATAACACTGTCTTATTTGACTACACATTTGCAATCAAAGGTTTTTTTATTTTATTTTATTTCATTATATTACAATCGTATGTATAATTATTTAATACCAATGGGTATGGTTACATATAATTCAACATAAAACTAACATAAGTGATAACACATATGTACGTTTGTCAAAAATTTAAATTTATTAAGAAACTTTATTTACTCATTAATTTTTTTTGTTATACAAGAAATCGTAAAATTCTGATTTTGGTTTGTTTTTTAGTCAAAATAGTTTTTTTTTAGATTTCAAAGTAATTTTTCACTATAATTATGTTTATTAATTAAAAATAAATTAGCATCTAATGCATTTTGTGGATTTTATGGTTTTTAAAAATTTATTTTTAACTTAGTTTTTACTTTATTAATGTTTATTGCCTTCAATAAGGATATAAAAAAAGGAAAAAAGAAAACAATGCTGTATCAAAACTCTACAACCGATAACTCTTCGAAAAAACCAAATGTAAGTTACAGCAATGTTATTGAGAAATTGATAATTAATGATCTTTTATTTTAGTTAAAGAATGCAACAATTAGCAAAGAAAAACAAATTTCGAGGTCCAAGAAACGTCGTTGTGAAAGCCCTCAAAGCTCTACACCATTGTCATCTGAAGAAAAAGTAAATTAAAACTATCTATTTCTATTTCACCTCTAATTAGTTGTATTTTATTCAATAATAATTTATTAATATTTATACATGTTTTAGGAAGTAACAAATAGTAAAGAAAACTCTCGATTTAAAAGACACATAAGCTCACAAATTTTAAAATCGGCCAACAAAGTAAATTAAGATTTTCCTTAGTTAAAAAATAATTAATAGACTTTAAACAGACTAATTAATAACTGCCTTTAATTATTTTAGTCACAAAGAATTGTTTATTGTAACTGAAAAATTTACATTATTGTGTTTGACGACTATAAAGAATATTTTTCCATAACTATATTGTTGCTGCCATTCAAAAAGTATCTAAGTGGATTTATGCCATTTTTGGGGTATACTTAAATGGGCAAGAACATTTTTTTAAAAAGGTCTTGAACCTCTGGTTACTTTTTGCGTGACAGCGACAATTTTTTATTGTAAATTAATTTTACTGTGATAACTAATATTGTAATAATTTCTAACATAATACAACCATATTTCATACTTTAAAGCTGCATAACGATTTGAGAACAAAGAAAATTTCAAGCAAAATTACTAACAAAGTCAAATCAATGCAAAGGAGTAGCAGAATAAGTATAGTAATGTCCTATTGTTTTTTATTTCAATTTAAGAATGTTCTATAAGATATTTTCAGTAAAATTTATAAAAGTGCACATGAAAAGTTGGTCATTTGACAATTTATTTTCATTAGTAATTTAATATTATTATAACATTAATTATTTATTATTTAAAATTTATACTACTATATAATGTTATTTACCATTAAATTAATTATATTTTTTATTCACAGCTTCAAATTAGTAAATATGTAAATTTAATCTTATTAACGTTATTTCTTTTTACATTTTTAACTATTTTATACAGTTACATTTATTTTAAAAAATGTTCTTTAAAAAGAGTTTTAATTAATAGTATTTTTTTCATTCAAGTATTTAAAAAAAAGAAAACTAAATATACTTACACTTAAGAACACAATCAAATGCTTATACGTTTATGTATATGCATTATGCCTAAAATTTTATTTTGAACGCTTATCCAACACTGGAGATGATTTAAAATTTCACAGCGTGTGTAAATCCTGCGAACTCTCTCAGACCCATTCTCTTGGATACAGTTGGAAGCCTAATTTATAAGGAATTTTTTTCACACATGCCAACAATATTAAAAAAGAATAATTTTTAATAAAACAAATATTTATATAAAGTTTGACTAACAGTTATAAAAATATATTTTATAATTACCAATAAGTTTTCTTATTCATATAAGTCATTAAGATACTTAGACCTATTGTAACTTATAATTTTTTTAAATATCAAAAGTTATTTTTTGTTAAATATTTTTATTGACAAGTGTACTTAAATTAATCACAATTTTCATGGCATATATTATAAATCTTCTTAAACTATTTGTTACCTTTTAAACAAATTCAGATTTTTGGAAAAAATGGGAATACTTCAAAACTACATAAACGCTTAATGCCCTCAAGAAAACATCGAATGAAGAAGAAGAAAGTAATTTTTAATCAACATTATTATTATTTTACTTATAGTATTCTGTACTATTAAATGCTAATTTTCATAACAAATATATAATTGATTTAACATTTTTTTTTAACTTGCAATGTAATTATAATACATTTCAAAGTAATATTATAGAAAAGACTTAATAACTAATTGACATAGATTGAAACAGAGGTTGTTCAATTAATTTTGCTTTCTATTTCATTAGTTTTTTTTTGCAATTTCAATAAGTATAGTGAAATATTATTTTATTTTTGATTTATTTTATAATTTTTTTTTTTTTTTAATAATTTGGTTATTAAATTATGTTATAAAAGGCAAATAAAGTATAGTTGTATTTTTAATAAAAGTAATTAGAACACACAACCATGGGTTAAGCACAAATCTAAAGTTCATCAAAAGTTAACTGTTTAATAAAATTGTAATATTAACTATTATTATGCTTGTATAATCATAGTTTCTAATGTCATATTTAATTATATACTTTAAAGCTTTCAAAAGCCAAACAAAACAAAGAACAAAGTGAGAAGAGCAGAAAGAATCCAGTTAAAGTTAAAAAAGAATCAAAGCAGTATTCTGAAGTGGGTTTTATTGATGATCCAATTAGTTGTATCTTTGACATAATTATCACATTGTTCTAAAAATTAAAGGATTCAACGAGTGATTCAATTAGTGAGTCGACATGTGATTCGCCAAATAATTCAGTCTGTGATTCAAGTGACTATAACTCGGAAGACAATCCATATGTAAACTTTGTAAATAATAAGTTTAGTAGATGTTCACGATTGCGGAATGTAAGTTAAACTCAAATTACATTTTATCTTATTACTTTTATAAATTATAAATAATAATTATTAAAAAAAAAAAAAAATTATAATTTACAACAAGTACCTTGTGCATTTTTTTTTTTTTTTAATAGTCTTGTAAATTAATAATTAAATATGAATTTTTGTTGAAAGAAATTTCCGTGCTATATCGAGGAATTGCATAAAACCAAAATTGAAGTAAAAAATATCGATGATGACATACATCTAACTAATCTCAGACAAATTCTTTTAAAAGACGTTGACAAGTGCGTTATTTAATTGAATACAATATTTACTTATTTATTTCAGTATGGTTGTTTTGTTTAATTTATTAATCCTACTTTCATTCATACAAATTAAAGTAACTTTAATTACAGAGATTACATGTTTCTTATCCTCAATATGTATAATATGTATGTTTATTTATAAGTATTTTTTTAATTTTTCATGTTAAGATGTACTTGCGCTATTATTTCTGACGATCAAAGTTATGTAATCGCTGGTACTGAAAATAGCAAAATTTACTTGTGGAAAAGATACAACAATCTAAAGAAGCATAAATCGTCTATTTTTGACATGTATGAAGCAAATTCAAAAAATTCATACAGTTCTTCCACAAACCGACGAGTTAATAAAAAATGTCTCAAAGAAACGTCAGTATTTTAATGATTGAAAATAATCTTTAAATGTTTTTATATTTTATATTTATTATACTATTTAAGGTATGATGTTAAAAAAGCTAAAGTGTTATGTGGTCATGGAGGGTCAATATTTGGTTTAGTTCAATTGCCAGATACAAATGAATTTATTTCAGTTTCTAAAGATCAGACAATGAAACTTTGGGATATGAAAACTGGCGATTGCATAACTACAATAAAGTGAGTGGTTTTTGTTAGTTACACTAATAATATGTTTTACAATTACTCACTTCCTTTACTTTTTTAATTTTTTACTACAACTACAAAACTACTAATTTCACGTACAACTCAATTATTGCAGCATCAAATATAAAAGTATTCTACATTGTATCCTATTATAAACTGAAGTTTAAAAAATAAAAGCACTAAAAGCATCATAATCTACATGTTTTCCCGAATCTAGTATTAAAATATTGTAAAACTAATAACATAGATGAGGCATTTTCTAGCCATGTCGTGTAACAATTTGATAAAAAATAATTTTCTTACAGCCAAGATCACGTGTCAAGTTGTGTGACTGTTTCTTCGTATAGCTCACAAATAGCTACTGGAGCAACAGACTCTAATGGCTATCTATGGAGTCTGGCGTTCGACGATCCATTAAGAATATATTTTGGCCACAGAGATCATGTTTTGGTAATATTCAAAATTAAATAAATTCATCTGAAACGATATCAATTAGCTATATTAATATAGATCTTTATTTTTTTAGAGTATAAAATTTCATCCCAATGAAATATATTTGGCAACAGGATCAACCGACCTCACAGTACGGCTTTATCACATAATAAGCGCACGGTGCGTCAGAGTTTTTCAAGGACATCGTGATCATGTTATATGTTTACAATTTCATGCGTTAGATCCTTACATTCTGGCGTCAGCTGGTACGTCAGAGTATTAATCTTAGAGGATAGTCTTGTAATATGTATGTTTAATTATTTATAAACAATCGTTACAGATTTAGAAGGTGGTGTAATAATATGGGATTTGTTGTCTGGTTTGAAAAAGTGGAGTATTTGGTTCGGTACGGTCGGTACCACTGTGATAAACGAAATGCAGTGGTTAACTACCAAGGTGCTACTGGTGGCTTTGGACTGTGGACTTATTTTAAAATGTGATACCAATAGGTAACTTAAATTGAATTAATAATAGCTAAAAATAAAACAAAAAATAGAATAAATAAATATTATTTAACTAAAATGTAATTTTCAGGTGTTACAAGGACAAAATAAAAAATGTACCTGCATTCAAAACCAGTTTTGATAAACAAATGAACTTGATGTTAGTAAATGATCAGTACATATCAATTGGTGTATCGGGTTTAAAATACCAAAGGTCATTTACTAAAATAAAAGAGACTTTACAAAAAACGGACGACCCATCTATGAGTGACTTGCAATTTCCTGATACATTGACATCACCTAATTTAATACTTCCATCCCTCCATCTGAAACCAACACAGCCACCAAATGTACACCAATTGATTACTCAACCAATGGGCTTTACTACAACTATTCCCAAACAACAACATCAGGCTCCTCCGCTTAATTTGATGAGACCACCCAGTAATGTTAAATCTAAATTTAGCGGTCTTCAACAGCCTTCTAAAACAAATGTGCAAAATACAGGAGTATTGCAAAATTCACAAGTACAGAAAAAACCTCCCCAAATAGTCAACCAAGCAAATCCACAATTTATAAATATACAACAGGTTTGTCAACCACAATATCGATTAGCTGTTCCGCAAACGCGGCAAGTAAATGTTTCATCACAGCCGTCGCAAACCATATTAGTTTCACAACATTCTCTATCACCCAACGGGTCGAATAAAAATGTCGAACAAGTAAACGTTGTACCAATACAGACTCCAACAAATAAAGTTCAGCTCGTTTCTACACGTGTACAGCCGACAAATATGAATTTCCAACAACACCCTACAAATATACATGCATTACAATCGTGTTCAATAGGGAGTGTTAACAATCCACAGCAGTCTTATTATAAAACGGTGCCAATTAGTAGCACAACACAAATATACAACACTCAAAAACCACAAACACACGGTATTCATCATCCACGTCTACAACAAACCGGCCACTATTTGAAAAGTGTACCTCGGCATGCAGCGATACTATTGCCGAACAATCAACTAGTGTATACTACGAACCCTGAGGATACACGATTTCACGCGGTGACAACGAACTTTCAACGAAATCATCCTAACATTTTTTTTCAAGATCAGATACCACATAGTAGTGATGCAAATAGAGCACAGTATATATCGGTTGTAACTTCGACTCGTACGTCTGCCACCAATACGGTTTCTCCTTCAATTTCCTCGTCTACACCCGATACGACTGGCGTGCAAACACCACAACTATGGCCACAATAAAAAAAAAACTTAAATTTTTTTTTTTAGTTGGAGGTCTCTAAAACATAGCGTATATTTGAATAACAATGAATTTTTAAAAAAACTTTATATTTTTGTGAATGTTAGTTAACATGTGTTTATATAATTTTTTAATGTAAAACTAACTTACCATTGCTATTAATTTAAGGCTAAGTATTTAAACATCATTGTCATATTTTAATTTGTGAAAAAACTGAAAAACACTAATTTATTAATAAAAAAAATTTAATAATATATTAATATTTTATATTTAATAGTTTGTACTTATTGTATATTCTATGACGGTAAATAATTTTTAATGATAATTTCTACTTAAAGAAATATGTTTGTTCTGTGTTTTTGCATTTATATTTTTCATAAGTAATTATGATTTCAAAATAAATTAAATTCTGTAAAAAAACTTACTTATTTTATGATTTAGTTACTTATACATAAAATAAGTAAAATTTTAATACAAATAGTGTTTTGTGTTGAACGACTATAAATCTTATGTAGAACTTACATAAAAATGAGAAGTTTCAGTACAATAAATGCAATATAATAATAATTACTTGATTACAAGTTTTAAATACTGACTTATTTTTTAAAAGTAAAACACAAAGATTCTATAAAATATTAAGTCTCTTTATTTTCATGACCCAACAATTTGGTAATAAACGGTTAAACATTCTGGATTGAGTCATAATACAAATGGTTTCTTAAACTGTCAACAAAAGCTACTGAATGTAAGCTAAGATTTTTAGATCCAAGCCCAGATATATACGTTTCATATAAAAATCTTTGTTGTAATTATTACTAGTTACATTTCTTAACTGTAACTGTCGGTGTAAATATTCTTGAGTTTAAAGTATCCAATAAAATATTTTTTGTCGTGTACTTGGCAATTTATTCATATTATTGAATACATCATTTTTAATAACCATACGAATAAAATTAACTAGTTTATTAAGTAAACTAAGTTTGGGGTTTACTTTGCTAAAAATAATTTAAGGGGAATGCACGTGGTCTGTTTTTAAGAAGTTTTGTATAGGCAATATTTAAGAAAAAGTTTTAACAAATTTCGACCGTGACAATTTATCGGTTATTTGTATAAGCTTCAAGGTATTATTTTTAATTTTAATAATTGTTTCTATGAGTAAAAGCCATTTTGTTTTATTTTAGACCAAACATTTAGACAAAATTTCGACTACATAGGATGGTCCAATTTAAATTCTGTAAAGAGATTCGAGTTCTTTGGCTAATCTACTGTGTTATGTAGGAAGTCGATTTTCATTTAAACATTTCAGTTTCTTGTAATTCAAATTGTAATTTTTTTTACATAGAGAAAAGCAAAAAATCTGTTTTCTACATAATCTAGTAAGGTTGCCAAAGAACTCGTATATCTTTACAGAATTAAAATCGGATCATCCTAAGTAGCTAAATTTTGTCTGGCTCTTTGGTCTAAAACGTCAAAAAAAACAGACCGCATCCAATCCCCTTACTGTGCATTATTATATTTTTGAAGTTATGTGCTATTATATTGAAGTTATGTGCTTTTTAGTGATAAAACTAGTATATTTGATGGGATAATAAAAGTAACATATAATAGTACTTTGTTTTTGCAAAATCAGAACGAAATCATAAAAGTCTTCACAAAAATGTACAATAATTCGAAGAATGACAAAAGTCATCTCGTTCCCAGCAGATTATTGTGGGTCACGTGCGCGATGAACTCAAAATTCGCACTGCTCAAATCAATGTGTATTTAGTACCGATATCGTATAAACGTACTTATATAGACAATTTCGCTTTCGGCATGGCACCAAGAGAATTATTATGGGTAGTTCTAAAGAGAAAATGTATGTAAAAATAGAGAACATGTATTAATAGGCGTGAAAACTAGTGTTAAGAGTGTGTGTGTGTAATAGAAGAACTATTTACTTTTAGAGTAGTTGTTCGTTAAACATATTATAATTAATAATAGTACTTTGTTTTTCCAAACCAGGACAAAAGTCAAAAAAGTCTTCACAAAAATGTACAATTTTCGGATAGAGACGACGCAGTGTTAGTAAAGAAAAACAGTAGTTTAAAAATGAAAAGCAGAAAAACAATTTTTTTGGTTCGACTCCGACCCGTTCGTTGTACAATTTTATTTTAACGTTTATTCCCTACCAATCGGGACACACAGTTTTTGTACTACAACTGGCTACCGATATAACGCTTACCAAACAAGTTTGACACCAAAGTGAAATAGGTGACCATTTTTCCCTCCACGGTCGCTCTCCCGGAGGAACAAACCATTCACATATGAGTATTCTTTCAGCATTTTTCTACAATCTGTTTTAGGTACTGTTCGTATTTGGTTAGGTATTGATATACCTGTTCTAAAGTCTCCCTGATAATCACCAACTATTTCATTACCATATGACTCAAGGCAAGATAGTACAGTATAATATTTGATAGTACTAAATATGCCTTTGACATCCTTTCTTCTCTTCACGATGTCCCAACTACTCGCTCTAGTCAAATTAGAGTAATTCTGATGTTATATTATCTTCTCTGGGCCTATCCATTTTTGAGAATTTCAATAAATGTTTCACTCCCGTCATACGTAGCGTAATTCTTCTGTGCTCTGGCCCATTAAGTAGTTCTTGGAATATTTCACTAAATTTCTCAAGCTGTACTTCATCCCTTTCTGTTATTAAATGTTCCTTAAATAACTACTGTTAAAAAAATCACAATAGTCATTACAAAGAGCTAGAAGGTTTTTTTTTTTTTGTATAAAAACAGTGGTTGGTCGAAAACAATAGCTCTGAATATTAACTACGTTTTCTGCTTATTAGCGTCCATAAGGGAAGGTCAGTGCAAACACATAGATAATACTGTAAATAAATGTATACTCCTTTTTTGTAATAAAAGTCAAAATGCCGAATATTCCACAGAATTAATAATTTACCCTGTGGTTACACCGAGCGGAGCAAACTCTAAGGCTTAGCAGCGGTCGATTGCACGGAGAGCAGATGAGAGGACGGACACGGTAAAGAGCATGTATCGATGTTGCAAGGGAATAGGGGTAGATGTCTGCGCCCGCGTTGGCGTACGTGACCGCATCTCGGTCAGGCATACGCGGCTGCGCTTGAGTCTGCCGCTACACCCTCAGCCTCATATCGATCATCTGCCCAGAGTCCAAGGATAAAGTTAGGCGTCCTGTCTCCGGACATGAGTCTTGCCGTTCCCAGGAGATTAAAGTGGGTCACGTGCGCGATGAACTCAAAATCGCACTGATCATAATTACAGGGCAGCATCGAGGACGTATATACGTACTTACAATTAAACAGAGGATAGGCGCCTTTTCTCCAGACAAAAGTCATCCTGTTCCCAGCAGGTTATTGTGGGTCACGTGCGCGATGAACTCAAAATTCGCACTGCTCAAATCAATACACGGCAGCACCGAGAACGTATAAACGTACTTATATAGAAAATTTCGCTTTCGGCATGGCACCAAGAGAGGTGTTATGGGTAGTTCTGGAAATGAAATTTATTTAAAAATAGAGAATATGTATTAATAGGCGTGAAAACTAGTGTTAAGAGTGTGTGTATGTGTGTGTAATTGTGGCGAAATAGAAGAATTATTTACTTTTAGAATGGTTGTTCATTAAACTCATACTTGTTTTTTTTTTTAGCGAATGAGATAAATTAAGTAAGATGAACTTACTTAATTACGAAGGACATACAGGACGACAGCATCTCGGTGTTAATTGTTTGCTGATGATTTAGTTTTGTTGGAAGAGAGTACAAAAGTGTAAGGAGTTAAATTAGAGCAAAGGAGGGAGGCGTTAAAAACAAAATGGCTAGAGAATAACATTAGATATAGGACTAGGTACGGAAAATGCTTTATATACTACATGTGCCACACGTTTTATTAATTCTGCACTTGATAATAACAAGAAAGTAATGGCAATATTTTTAGATTTAACTAAAGCGTTTGACACAGTAAATCACTCAGCATTCTTAAATATTTTGCCTGTATTTGGTATTATTTCATCAAGTTTAGATTGGTTTAAGAGTTATTTGGAAGACAGAAGGCAAATAGTGCGAATAAATAGCTTTATTGGTAATGAAGTGGTATTAAACTATGGAGTACCACAAGGTAGTGTACTGGGTCCCATTCTATTTATCTTGTACATAAATAGTGTCTGTAATTTAAAAATAAAAGGACTTATTACTACCTATGCTGATGACACGTGCTTACTTTTCTCAGGAAATTCATGGGTTGATGTACGTTTTAAAGCTACTAAAGGTTTTAAAAGAGTAGTCGATTTTCTAAACCATAGAAAACTATCGATAAATTATAATAAAACTATGTTTATGAATTTCATGATTGATTGAGAGATGATAATTTTGATACATTAAAAATTCATGTCTGCGATAATAATAACTCATGCAATGATATAAAATGCAAAACGTTAATAAGCGTCTCTAGTATTCGTTATCTGGGTCGAATTTTGACAAGAATCTAAGATGGAATCTGCATGTGAACAATTTAGTAATGCGTCTACGTACTATGAGTTATGATTTTTAGAAATTTAGAACAGTAGTACCAATGCAAGTTGTTCGAACAGTATATCTAGCATTATATCAAGCATTAATGCAATATGGTTTACTTATTTGGGGAGGCCTTTCTGTTAATGCCATAAAACCTTTATTAATCCAACAAAGACAAATTGTTCGATTATGGTTACAGAAACCTACTCTTGAAGGTTCAACAAGTCAAAACATTAAATTATTTCAAGTATTACCTGTGGATTTACTATTAAAAAAAAATTCCATTTTATGGGTAGGTAAAAATATAGATAATTGGAGAAATATAAATAATGAAAAAACAAAAAGGGAACATTTAGCATACGATGTTAAAGTGATGTATTTTAAAAAAGCTTTTGGTCAAAAATTCGTGGACTACCTGGAACCTGGGTCCTACTTATTTTAATTCTATGCCTGTTATTATTAAAAAGAATATAACTGATAAACATAAAAATGTTAAAATAACTAATAATAACTGGTTATTATTGTACTTAGAATAAGTTTTATATACGTTTACAAGCAGTTATCATGTACACCTTATTATTATTATTATTTGTAAGTAAACTGTCGCTCTCTACCTTCAACGCAAACTTGCTTTAGGGTAGATAATCTCTATGTTTATTATGTAATACTTATTTTTATGTAATAACAATGGATTTACAATAAAAAAAAAAACAATTTATTATACACAAATATTAAATGTTTGTTCTTTATATTGTTTTTATATAATAAATTACCTACAATTTTGTATAGGTAGCTGTGGCTAGAAAAATAATAAACTATTAAGTATATTATTTTAAATAACTTTAATTGTAAACGGTTATGTAAGTAGATTAAACTTAACGTATAAAAACGATACTACTTATTAGGTAATAAATGACTTAAATAAGAAAATAATAGATATTAACGACACATTCAGTTATTTTCAAACTTATTATAGTTCTAACAACCAAGTTTAATAACTTCATAATAAAAATTATGTGTTTTCTAATTAACAAGGTACTACATTTATAGCTTCTCAACTACAAAATAGACGTTTTACAACCAACTGTATTACTCTCCTTATGATTACATCAATAACAATTATTACGTTTGCCATGCGGATTAAAAATGTTATCGACCTTTATAATTAAAACAAAATTTATGACATGCATATTGCATAGTAAACTAAAAACCTCATTTAAAAATGAAAAATGCAATCTAAAAAATTGATATAAATATCCGTACAACGTACACCATTTTCATCTGTTACTGTTAACATCTTCTGTGCAGTACATTGTCGACAGTTCATTGTCAACTACTGCTTAAAAATGTTTTTCTCGAATGTAATCAAAGCTATTACGATCCTCTCGGTTTTGGTACGTATAACTACTATAGATAGTATTTTTTTACAAAACGCCGTTTATTTTGTTTACTATTGATATATTATTCATTAGATTCATTTGATAATTTAGCATTCCCTATGTTACATCTTTTAAGTTGCCTAATCTATTGTTTTTTAAAAAAAGCTATTTAGAAGCCTCGTGTACTTTTCTCAGCCATCGTAAATGTGCAAATATTCTGATCACCCTAATGGCAATAAAGTTAACAGTATTTTTTATTAAAATTATTAAATTACACAAATGTGGTCCACCGATTACTTTTTTTTCTTATTTATCTCTAGTTAATGTATGTTTAACATCACCTCAAATTATTAATTTTTTACTAGATTATTTAAAAAGTTTTTAAGTTTTAAAGAGTTTTTTTTTTGTATAAGTATATTATTAAGAAATTGTACACAAAATTGAGATAAATACAAAAATGTAGTTAACATTTAGTGTTATTCTATATTTCCATCTTAACGTTTTTACTTCAGTTACTTTCCATTTTTCAACTATTAAACATTTTCCTACATATTGTAGACTAAAATAATATTTTTGTCGCCTGTATTCTTCCACTTAATGGTATTTCACATAACTTTGTTGATTTAATAAATAATTTTTGAACAACGTGATTATTTAAAACACGGGGTGTAAAACTAACTTAAGTTTTGAGCAACCCAAAATTAGTATTTTATATATTTATTTAATGATTTATGATTTATTTGAATTCAATATTTGTGTTCATAGGGCATTACGTATGGCCAGCTGCCGGTGGGTACTGGTTATGATGTTCACTGTTTGCCAGCAAAACTGTTTGAGCGTGGAGGATTGATGGGTCATATTGAAATAGATGGGCATAGATTGGCTCTAATGTCGTTACTTCCTTATGAAGCTTATAAAAGACAATGTTCCAAAAACGAAGTTCCAGCTTTAACCTTTCCAGTTGGCCAAGTAGGAATATTTCCACCTAAAGATATCAAAGAGACGAGTGACCCAAACGCCATTGAGGAAACCCCGATAACAGGATGGCCAGCCATAACACCTAGGTAAGAATAGGCATTGAAATGCTATGAGCCTTTAACTACTACTAAAATAATTGAAAAATTGGATGTCTATGATACATTTTTGTTGTTTTTAATTTATTATGATATAACTATACTTGATTCTAAATAAATTATTTATTTTTTAGTAGAGACACAAAAGATAATATTCCAACAATGATTCCCATGGATCATTCAAAAGGATGGCCTTCACCCATAATTCAACGTAATATAGGATAGAAAATTGGAACATCAATGACTACGAACCAAAAATGTAATTAATAATAATTGGAATAATTGGATGTTATAATATATTAATAATAATATATACTAAAAATAGTTGGAATAATGTTGAATAATTGAATGTCTATGATACATTTTCGTTATTATTTATTCATTAGGATATAATTATACTTGATTCTAAATAAAATAAAATATACTCACAAACGTGTACTTTTATGCTATATTAATATTACAATTAGCAATGATGGCATATTATAAAAAATATATATATATATTTATGTATGTATGAAATAAAAAAAAATATGACAACGCATGAAACGCGTAACGTTCATTCTAGTAAACTAATATCACTTTGTATCACTTTCGATATAACTTCAAGTCTTATGATTGGGTTAAAATAAGTTACGACACTATTATTATTCTTATTGACATTTTCATGTCTTAGCTCTGGCACATAACCGAAAAAAGCGTTACCAAAAAAGCGTAACGAGAAAAGAAATGGGGTTGGGGTTGGGGGTGGAATTAGCTCTATAAATACTCCAAATACTCTATGAATTGTTTTAAGCCAAATATTAAACACTACAATATTAGCCAGAAACTTGATGTTTTAATATACTAGCTTGTTACTGATTCTTAATATACTATATCATTATCTATAATTCCACCACTACTCTAAATTTATTCGGTACTTCAACGAGACATGAAAATGTTCTTTCGTGGTTGCAGACTCGGCTGAAAAACTTTTTATTTTATTTATTACAAGTTAATTGGTTCAACGTATAAATGTTTTACAAGTACTTTAAGATGTATACAAGGCGTAGAAAAAAAAAGAAAATTAAAAAATAATGGTTAGTTTAGTAAAATATGAGAATTGAGTTACAATAAGGTTATAGACTGTAGTGACATAAGAAAAAAGTTATAATGTATTATAGTTTGTAAGTATTAGTAAGTAATAGTTGTGAGTGTAAAATTAAATACGTTTTAAATATCTATTAGGTAGGTATAATATTGAATTTATACATACGTTTTCATTCTTACATAAATTATAGTATTTACATTTTTTTTTTTAACTTATGCTCGTAGCCTCTAAATCAATTTTAAAATCTGAAAAAATAGGGTAATATTTTTCTACCCCAAAGAACATAATGTCGAGAGAAGAACAGAAAACAATTTAAAAATAATGTATTTTGATCCACCCTAATTATGATTAAGTACCTATTTGTAATACCTGACACAGAAAAAAATAATTATACTTACATAGATAACATGTTTTTAACAATAATATTCGCGTACTTAATAATTCTAAGAAGAATGCAATGTACACTTTTTATTTTTTATTTCAACAATCTAGTTTAACTTTAAAAGAAATAAGATACCATTTCACTTGAGGTAACTTCTTCGCACCTGTGATTTGGATGCTATTTGTACAGACGTAGTTGACGATTGTACGAATGTCGTTTAATAAAAAGTTTTAGACATTAAACCAAACATGTATAATGTAGATTACGATATTGTCCATTATTCGAAAAACTTCCATGATTTTAATACTTGGCACACAGAGATATTTTTTTGATACTTACGTAATCCAATTTGACTATTTACTAATAATAATAATAATAATGAGCTAACAGACTGTTTTAATTATAAATATTTAGCTAAAAAAGGTGAAAACCCCACTTTTGGTGATATAAATAATAAATTATTATAAATAGTTTAAATGTCGTCATATTTATATAGATCATTATTGATTGTATTATTAATATATTTATTGTACGAAAATAAAATGTTTTTGATATTACCGAATGTATTTTATTCAGAAAATTAGAAATGCATGAGACATCCAATTATTCAAAGTTGTAGACCATAATTTACTATACAATGTTCCTCTTAACATTACCTAGGTGTAAAGTGGTTTAATGTAGTCTTAGGGGCATTTTACATTTTAAGAGGAAAGGCGAACTCTTGTCATTTTTGGTCCAATAATAACTATTAAGGTACGATTTCTGATCTATAGATTTGCTACATGACGAAATCAGTTCAGCGGTTTAGGAGATAATGTGGGTCTAAACATAAAAATAGAAAAACCATTACAAATAAAACACAATAGTATTTGTGCCTAGTCAGTATGATGAAGCAGTTCCTAACAAGCGTATTTTGTATTTTGTCTTACCATCTCAAGTATTTAATTATTGTTATCGGAAGACAGTCGACGTTTTTACTTACACATGTGCATATTGTTTTTTAACATTTGTTACAAGTATTTAAACCTTTTATTTTTTGATACGCTTCAGGATTTTTTTTATTATTATTATTTAAATCCAACAAATAGACAAAATAAATAACATGACTTTATTTCTCGCGAGACTTGTCTTTAATAAGACATTACTTCTCAGTTCTGAACTCTGCATCGAAACTAGGTTAACTAGAATGACCAAAAGTTGAAACGTTACCGCATATATTTTTTCATTTTTATATACTCCACCCATGCTAATTGTAATATAAATATAGTATACAAATAACACGTTACTGCGTTAATATATTTTATTCAGAATCAAGTATAATTATATCATAATGAATTAATAATAAAAAAAATGTATCATAGACATCCAATTATTCAATATTATTCCAGTTATTATTAGTATTATTGTTAATATATTATAACATCCAATTATTCCAATTATTATTAATTACAGATTTTGGTCATAGTCGTTAGGGTATCAATGTCTATCCCAACCTAGGTGCCATGGGTGGCCATCCTTTTTCCATGGGATTTGGTGGAGTTTCTTTTGTTTGTCTATTTTTCTGTTTGTTCATTGGATAGGTTAAAACTGGAATTTCGTCATTGGAACAACGTTTTCTAACAATTTCATAAGGAAGTAACGAAAGTAGGGCCACTTTAGTCCCTTTAACTTCAATAGTAGCCATGCCGTCTACAGTTCCAAACAGTTTTGCTGGCAAACAATAAATATCAAGCTTGGTACCACTCGGCAGCTGGCCGCACGCAACGTCCTATGAACATAAATACACATATTCACGTATTTATTGTCGTTAAAGCGTTTACATACATTTTTAGTAAAACGACTAAACCCATACAATAGTTTTACTATTATTAAAAATGTAGTTTAGTTTTCTATTTGGTTTATAAGATTATAGACTACTGACCCTAAATCTTTACATTTTCTTAAGTCTAAGTTGTCTTTATAAACATGTCATTAAAAAAATAATCTCATGAAAGGAAAATGTTGTTATTTTTCAAAAATCGAGTACATATAAGATATGCTTACACATAAGCAGACAAATTATAGAAAGTGCGAGACATGGTCATTTAAATGATCGGGATATTTGAAAATTTAAGATGTCTGAGAAAGGCAGACGTAACTTCTGAATAGCTGTATAGAAAACATAAAGATATTACGAACATTTAAAGAAGGAACATAGGTATTACTGAAAATTCAAATGTAATCCATGGTAAAAAAAAAAGATAGACTTTTTTTTTTTTTAAATACTATCAAATAGGTATACGTACCAAAACCGAAATGATTGCAATAACTTTGATTACATTCCAGAAAAACATCTTTAAGCCGTAGTTGACAATGACTACACAGAAGACGTAAAGGGTAACAGGTAAAAATGGTTTTCGTTGTACGGGTATTTATATCAATTTTAAAACTAATTTGTCAATAATAACGTACTTTTACGAACCAATTGGACAAATTTTAATTAACGTTAATCTATTAAAATTTCGTTTTTACTAGCTACTATGCGAATTAAAACATTTTTTTTTAATGTAATAAGTCAATAATATTTTTAATCGCTGCGTTGTAAAAGTATTTTTCGATGTCGACGTTGGGAATTGTCACGTACTAATTTAATGTTGTCGATGGAATTATCAGGAAAGCAATACATTTAATAATGGGTTGTAATACTTCTATATTTTATTTGGGAACCGATGAATTTATTACTTCTTTTAATTAAAAACACATAATTTTTAGTGGTTTATTGTAATCTCGAATAGTAGTAGGTGTTATAGCTATGACGATGTATCATTAATAATTTTCTTGGTTGTATCGTTTTAAACTTGCATTTTAAAGGTTTTTTATTCGACAGCGTTATGCCCATAGATATTCGACACAAGTAATAATTTTAATACTCTCAACTTGTAACAAGGCTGTTCAAAAACAGATGTCCGGTGTCCACACAATTGTATGTATTTAGAGACAATTGGTATACTATCAGAATTTGATGAGTGTTTGTTTAAAAGTCATGTTTTTTTCAAATAGTCTTCAAATTTACGCAAATGACAAAAATTTGTTAATAACTTTAATAAGTCACTAACAAAGTTATTTAACATTTGCTATGTATTCAAACAGAATACATCCAACATTGTTCTTGGACTTCAATAATTCATGGCAAAAGAATAACCCTTCTGTAATAAATATTAAGATGTCTCAACTAGATAGGGACATACATTTACAGCACACTTAAACTTTTTTATTAGTATTGGCTAATAATATATTATGCAATACATTTTTTTTAAAGTATAAACCAGTCGGTAACAAAAAGTAAAGGAGATACAATAATTATAATGACTAGAAAAAATTGAAATTACCAACATATAATAAAAAAGTTAGTACAATAGGGTCGGGGCATAGTAGGGACGAAAAGGTCACAGGTCTTCTAAACTGAAAGTGATAAAATCAGTACAATTCAAACCATGCATATTAGGCATAATAGTATAAAACAGCATTTAGTATTAGGGTGGATACGATTAAGGTTGGTCGTCTGTCTAAAAAAAGGTAATGCCATAGTTTTCCATATAATGTAATTAACAATATAATGAAAACATTTTCATTGCCTGTTGACTGTAGATTCACTCACACAGATCACATAGCAACTGGGAAATTGATTACAAAGTCTAATTTTCCCCTTTTTTTGGTATTTTCCTTAATAAAAAAAGTTTTACTACAGATTTTTAAAAAATTACTTAAGTTATAGTTTCTTTCTAGATCTACCTTTGGACAAATTTTCAAACCTAAATCATTAAAGCTTTGAAAAAATTTTAAATTAAAAAAATGTATATCCCTTCTAGGGGAAAGAGTTTATACAAAAACGAAAAATGACAGAATAATATTTAAAACTAAAAATCACATC